TGTATATGGCTCCTCTGGTAACTATACATTGTAGGTGTCCTTAGGATGGGCATATACAATTAAATTGGAAACATTGGAGGGTAGAGGTACAAAAGGAATTCTTTCCCATCATTTATGCATGTACTTGTTGAAATTTGTACATATCAAATATGTGAGAACCTTGGATCTGTTGCTTTACATTCTTAAATTGATAAATTTGTGACCATGGTTACTAAACTACATTGTAGTTGATGAACTGATGAGTGTTAACCGGTATGTCTTGTCCTTCAGACCTGTGAGATTCCGATGGTGGCAGGAAGGTAAATCTGATCCACCCACTCCACAATGGGCAATTGACGACATCTTTATATCTCGGTCTTGTCGCAATATATGCAATGGACATGGAACGTGTGATTACCCACAATGCATTTGTGATGATGGTTACTATGGTGTACATTGTGGAGGGTTGGTTACTACACTGCAGGTACTGAATATCATGATGACTTTATTAGATTATTGTGAGAGTGACACAAAATTCTGATGTGGCTGTATTAATATGCTGTGTACATTACGTTACGTATCCTGGCATTTTCTGGGGGACAAATTTCTTACCAAAAGAATTGCGAGCAGTTGGATTTGATGTTCAGAAAAAAACTTTACATGAAAAACTATTTGAGATGCATTATTAGAAATCATTGCTGTAACAAGATAATCAACCAGAAAGAACCAGGATGTACCTTTAGGATTGCGTATAATTTGACAAGTGGCATAAGTCAGTGGTGATGTGTGAATGCATGCTTTGTGATTAAAACATTCTAACTAATCTAATTTTGATTTTTACTTTGTATTTTATTTATTTTTAATTTTGTTTACATCCTTATACAGTCATTTACTGATGTACTAGATTTTAATATAGAATTTAAAAACAGAATCATTTTGAGAAATTTGCAAACATTTCTTTCAGACAACCATCAAAGAACGTTTCAGAGAACCTGATGCTGATGTTTGGTCACTTATACAAGGTGGTAAGATAGTAACTGGCAGATATTCATGTGGTATCATCCGTGAAGAGTCATCACTATATTTCCATGGTTACGGCCTGAGACAATTGGAAACAATCGATTTAGACCTCAGAGGAGCAAGGTAATTTTTTCTTCTTTCTATAAATGTACGTTAGTGCAGACAATCAATCAAACAAAATTAATTTAAATTTTGTAATTAATTCTTTTCAGTTTCATACAGTATCATGCTGTAGTTGGTAGTCATAGCGACACTGATACCTGTGAGAAACCAATCAGTAGGAATGAGAACGTTATCATCCAGTATTCAATAGATGGAGGTAGGATTTGGTTTTTATCCTAAAATCATTGCATATAGGAAACTATATTGACAAAGATGCCATGGTAACCAAGATGGATGAGCTGTAGTGTGTCTTCACAATTCCAAACCATAGTGAATCATGGGATAGTTTTGATCGAATCAGATCTAACACATCTCTATCACAAAGCATGTCAACTTGTGAAACCTGACATAACAATCCCACAATGCATTATTTGGAATTGCAATATGGCCTATGGAAGCAAGATAATATTTTTTGTGTTAAAGTGTAACTGGACACCCAGCAATGCATTGAGGAACTTAATCCTTGTCTTTTTCAATGTCTTACAAAATATGTCTCATGACTATGGATAAAACTTTTAATGTTCATGATTATTTATTTGTTTTCAGGAATAAGTTGGCGTTTATTGCATGAACTAGACTATGAACATTATTTAACTCCACAACAGGATTACATTCCATTACCAACAAAAGCTAGAACAGAGAGTACTAAAATAAGATGGTGGCAACCTGTTGACATGGAAACGTACCGCTACCAAGCCCAGTGGGCAATAGATGATATTTTAATTGGTGAGTGTGAATAAATAAGTTAGAAAAAGCTAAAATATAATCATTTTATTACTGTTATTTATTTGCATGTGAAGGTCTGGAAGAAAATAACTGCTGAATTTGAAGGAAAATGGATTATTTGCATGATATAAAGCATTAAATTTTGTTTCCCTTCACTAAAACATTGCTGCATTCTATTTGTATGATTATTATATCAGTGAATAGAAGTTTGATGAAAACATGTGTGAAATAAAAAAGTCTAACTGAGTGTGTGAACATGCTGTACTTAAAATGAAAACAGCAAAGCTTATTTCCATGACGATTATACTTCTCTTCTCATTCCTGCAGAATTTGTTCAAATACAGATTTTACGTACAGTGTTTTGCTGTCCTTATATGCGCTTTCTGCTGTATATGTATAAAATATGTATCTGATATAGCTTCTATTGAATTCTGGTATTATTGACTAATTTGAGCTCCTGAAATTGGTGTGTGGATTTTATACCTGACACCACACCACACCTACAATACAATTTGCTTATTTCCCATGTAGGTGACAATGTTAACATTTGGTTAACAAATGATCATTGATTCAAATGGTATTCACAATTAAACCTATAATTCAACTGTAAACCATTTATTACGGTACACATAGTTGTCAGCAGTAATACATCTATATGCAACCAGCTGAATGAATGCAACATGGTACTAAATTGTACTACTTTTCGGAAGAAATCAACAGACTGTCTGCTGAATGAATGCAACATGGTACTATATTGTACTACTTTTCGGAAGAAATCAACAGACTGTCTGCTGAATGAATGCAACATGGTACTATATTGTACTACTTTTCGGAAGAAATCAACAGACTGTCTGATCTATGGATATCAGATCACTGGGTGTCTTTCAAACCAAATACATGTAATATGGAACTGACCATATAAAAAATTCTCCAAAATAAAAAAGTGCCATCTGACATTGATTCCTATCAGTTGGTTATTGATCTTTTCTATTTGAATTTGGAAATTGTTTTTTCTTTTCTGTTTATTGTAAATCTAACATATGCTGTTTGTTTCTATTAAACAGGTGGCAGTGACATCAATCCCAGCTTCATTGCTGAATATCTTGATAATAAAAACATTGCAGAGGACAACTGGGAATTTTATCCAAAGCCATCCTGACCCATGGAGTCTGTGGTAACCATGGTTACAATTTCTACTGGCAAGGTGGCAAAGGTGATACAAGTGACAACACCATGGCAACCAGGCAGTTGATAGTGACAGACAATTTTATGATCCAATTTAAGGTATTTTTACTTGTACACTATAGTAGTAATGATATTTTATGTACCGGTATTTTGGAATTAAAATTTGCATAAATTTTATATTTGTTACCATAATTTTTAATTTTGAAGTTTGATTGATGCAGTTTCTTGTTGTCATGGTCAAAAAAGTGAACTTTTTATTTTAAAATACATCCTGTCTCTAAATATAAAATTAAATAATGAAATATATTTTTTATTCTCAATCCTTTTGTTTTTTTTGTTTTTAAAAAATTCTTGTGTATAACAAGCTCAAAATAATTCCTTTCATTTCTGAAATTGCATTAAACATCCATTCACTTTTTTTTACAAAATTGTTACTGAAAATAATGGGGTTGTAAGTCATTTTTTTTCTCTCATAAATCATTTGATGGTGCACAAATTTTGTATTTATTGATGCACGTACACTTGCAGTACTAAACTAGTGAGACCTGTAACCACAAAACTCGAGTATATTAATTTTCCCGTCTTTCAGATTGTTGTTGGTTGTGGTAGCCAGACAGATCATTGCTCTTCAGATGAACCAGTGAGATTGGAATACAACACAGATCCAGTGAAACCAAGATGGCAGCTGTTAGAATCTTTGTGTTTACCCGGTATAGTAGACCATGTAGAGTGTTTGCCACATTATTACCATACAGATAGTGTTTATGATACTAATGGATATAACCAGTGGACAAGAATTGTTATGCAGTTACCAGATACTACAATATCAAGGTAAACATCTGCATGCTATTTTGTAGTCATGGCATTAATATTTAAAGTTTGTTGGCATACATTTTAATTTCTTGTAAATAATTATAATAATGATTTTTACACATGTACATATTGAATTAAATTTCATGATTTTTGGAAGATTTGCACCGTAGTACAAGCATAAGTAGTTTCAACGATGGCAGTTTCACTATGTATGCATGGTTTCACTTGATTTGCACTGGAGTAAAAGTAAAAGTTGTCCTAGCAATGTCAATTTCACCATGTACGCCAAGTTTCACTTGATTTGCACTGGAGTACAAGCAAAAGTTGTCCTAGCAATGTCAATTTCACCATGTATGCCAAGTTTCACTTGATTTGCACCAAAGTACAAGCAAAAGCTGTTCTAGCGATGACAATTTCACCATGTATGCCAAGTTTCACTTGATTTGCACCAAAGTACAAGCAAAAGTTGTCCTAGCAATGGCAGTTTCACCATGTATGCCAGGTTTTATTTGATTTGTACCAAAGTACAAGCAAAAGTAGTTCTAGCGATGGCAGTTTCACCATGTATGCCAGGTTTTATTTGATTTGTACCAAAGTACAGGCAAAAGCAGTTCTAGCGATGACAGTTTCACCATGTATGCCAGGTTTTATTTGATTTGTACCAAAGTACAGGCAAAAGCAGTTCTAGCGATGACAGTTTCACCATGTATGCCAGGTTTTATTTGATTTGTACCAAAGTACAAGCAAAAGTTGTCCTAGCAATGTCAATTTCACCATGTATGCCGAGTTTCACTTGATTTGCACCAAAGTACAAGCAAAAGTTGTCCTAGCAATGTCAATTTCACCATGTATGCCAAGTTTCACTTGATTTGCACCAAAGTACAAGCAAATGTTGTCCTAGCAATGTCAATTTCACCATGTATGCCGTATTTCACTTGATTTTCATCAAAGTACAAGCAAAAGCTGATCTAGCGATGGCAATTTCACCATGTATGCCGAGTTTCACTTGATTTGCACCAAAGTACAAGCAAAAGTTGTTCTAGCAATGTCAATTTCACCATGTATGCCGTATTTCACTTGATTTTCATCAAAGTACAAGCAAAAGCTGATCTAGCGATGGCAATTTCACCATGTATGCCGAGTTTCACTTGATTTGCACCAAAGTACAAGCAAAAGTTGTTCTAGCAATGTCAATTTCACCATGTATGCCGAGTTTCACTTGATTTGCACCAAAGTACAGGAGAAAGTAGTTCTAGTGATGACCGTTTCACCATGTATGCCAGGTTTTATTTGATTTGTACCAAAGTACAGGCGAAAGTAGTTCTAGTGATGACCGTTTCACCATGTATGCCAGGATTTATTTGATTTGTACCAAAGTACAGGCAAAAGTAGTTCTAGCGATGGCAGTTTCACCATGTATGCCAAGTTTTATTTGATTTATACCAAAGTACAGGCGAAAGTAGTTCTAGTGATGACTGTTTCACCATGTATGCCAGGTTTTATTTGATTTGTACCAAAGTACAGGCGAAAGTAGTTCTAGTGATGACAGTTTCACCATGTATGCCAGGATTTATTTGATTTGTACCAAAGTACAGACAAAAGTAGTTCTAGCGATGGCAGTTTCACCATGTATGCCAAATTTCATTTGATTTGTACCAAAGTACAGGCAAAAGTAGTTCTAGTGATGGCAGTTTCACCATGTATGCCAAATTTCATTTGATTTGTACCAAAGTACAGGCAAAAGTAGTTCTAGTGATGACAGTTTCACCATGTATGCCAGGTTTTATTTGATTTGTACCAAAGTACAGGCAAAAGTAGTTCTAGTGATGACAGTTTCACCATGTATGCCAGGTTTCATTTGATTTGTACCAAAGTACAGGCAAAAGTAGTTCTAGTGATGACAGTTTCACCATGTATGCCGAATATCACTTTACCAATACAGGCTTTGTGGGTTGGCAGATGTTAGGGTTTTGACAGAAAATTTGTGGATGGTTTATTTCCGCATGGGTGATGCATATTTAACTTTTACTCAGTGGTGAAGGGAGGGGGGTATATTTGGTAGTTTTGGGTATATGAAATGAATATTGGATTTGATTTTTTCTTAAAGCTCTACTCAGTTTCGTTGGAGACAGCCATCAGCTACCCGCCAAGCACCAAGCTGGTCCCTAGACGATATTTACATTGGTGAACAATGTCCACAATTATGTAATGGTCATGGTATATGTGTTGAAACCAAACGGTGTATATGTGATGCCGGTTATCATGGTAAGTTTTTTACATGTTGGTTTCAAAATAAAAACTTAGGTATTATTTGCAGCTAGCATGTGTATTGAAATAAGCTACAATGTAGTTTGTGTAGAAAAGTTTTCAAACCTGTTACTTGTAGAATATTTAAAAAGAAAACGAGCTAATAGTACACTGTATGTGGAAGAGAATATTTACCCTCAGTAACCCACAGTATCTATTTAACTAAACCTTTTGAATTTCAACTTTGGTGACCTTTCTTAAAATAAATCCACATAATGTTTTGTTTCATTCAAAATTAACGATTACGATGAAAAAATTATGGTGTTAATAAGATTACGACCAACAGATCTCAACTTTTCAAACCCTGTCAAAAACAGTCACAAGCAGTAGGCGTAAAAGTTTGTAAAAGTTAGCATGTGCTGCATTGGCTACAACAAAGTGCTGATTATCGCATATTTTGGTTCTTCCTGAAAATCTTTAGGAGAAAGCTGTGAATTGCCGATATCTAAGTTACCACGTTACATGATAGAGACATTTGAAGCTGCCATTACATCTAGCAAATGGTCGTCTGTACGAGGTGGTGCTATCGGTAGAGGATGTGGATCATTACTACCGTATGCACATGGTAAAAACCTGTACTTCAATGGATGCGGTATCAGAGAAGCTGTTACCATAGAGATGGACACAACAAAGGCTAGGTAACTTAAATGATTCATTCTAGCACACCACCATACCCATTTCCAACCTCAATCAAAATATCTGGTGTGAATGCTCCAGGCATTTGGTAGTGTTAGCTAACAATGCTGTGGCGACATAAAATAAATGGCAGATAGAATCGAAAATGTTTTACTGATTGTTACCATTTACGGTAGGGTATCAGGTGGTCCCTGCAAGAAGTTACTTAGGTGGCCACTGTATATATTCCATGAGTCCATTCATGTGCACTAAATTAAGGTGACATAAACAATTTTAACATACTTTGATAGGTGATCAAGGATAATGGTCAGGGGTTTTTTCTATAAAAAAGATGCAAGAGGGAGCACTGCAATTCAGCGGCGCCACCAAGTGGGGGAGATAGGGGTGTGGAGTTAAAATGGAGCATTCTATGGCTTTCTTGGGGCCAAAATTCTATCAGACAGGTCACAGTTGAAGACTGTGGCCACATGTGATCCCTGGTCATTCAGAATTTTATGGTTG